GAGAGGGAAGAGAAAAGGAGGGGAAAAGGAAGAAAAGAAAGGGAAGAAAGCAAGAAAGGAAAGGAGGGAGAGAAAGAGGGGGAGGGAAAAAAGGAATGAAAAAATGAGTACACCCTAAAGGTCTACTAGCATTGGAATGGATAAAATGTGGCATATTTGTGCAATGGAATACTACAAAATTAGGCAGAAGGTATTTATAGTGATAGAGCTCAAAATACTCATGATATTTAGAGGAGATTATTAGCTGCTCCAGCTTGCTAGATGCTGAAAATGTTCAACATTTTGATTTGAGTAATGGTTACATTTAATATACAGATGTAACATGTATACTATGTATTATGTAAAACTCATCAAGATATATATATATATATACTAAAATGTGTACACTTTACTATCTGCATGTTATACTGTAACAAAAATCAACACATATATATATATAGGTACTTTCATTAAAAGGGAAATTAGCTCCTCCCCCTCCAAAATAAGCCTTAATATCATTAAATAAAAATTACAAGCAGACAATTCCTAAAACACATTAAAATATGGAACTCTAAAAATATCTAAATTACTTAAGAGGCTAAGGATTGCAGCTCAAAGCTAGCCTGGGCAGGAAAATCCATGCGACTCTCATTTCCAATTAGCCAGGAAAAAGCCAGAATGGAGCTGTATCTCAAGTAGTAGAAAACCAGTGTAAGTGATAGTGCCCAGGTCCTGAGTTCAAGCCCTAGTACTGGCATACAAAAATAATATCTATATGTAATCTAAAATACCCTGCGTACAAGAAATAAAAATAAGATGAACAGAATCCTCCTTGTACATCAGAAAGTCAAGAACTATTAGTTAGCACATTCTATTTTTTGGGGGGGAGGTCTGGTCGTGGGGCCTGAACTGTGGGCCTTGGCACTGTCCCTCAGCTCTTCAGCTCAAGACTAGGGCTCTACCACTTGCGCCACAGTGCCACTTCCGGCTTTTTTTTTTGGGCGGGGGGTCCAGTCCTGAGGCCTGAACTCTGGGCCTGGGCGCCATCCCTCATCTCTTCAGCTCAAGGCTAGTGCTCTACCACTTGAGCCACAGCACCACTTCCGTCTTTTTTCTTTTTGCTTATGTGGTGCTGAGGAATCGAACCCAGGGCCTCGAGCATGCAAGGCAAGCGCTCTACCACTGAGCCACCTTCCCAGCCCTAGTTAGCGCATTCTACTCTGGTGTTTGTTTTTCTTGTCATTGGGCTTGAACTCTGGGCCTGGATGCTGTCCCTCAGCTCTTCAGCTCAAGGCTAGTGCTCTACCATTGAGCCACAGTGCCACTTCCAGTTTTTTATTGGAGATCAGAGTCCCATGGACCTTCCTGCTGGGCTGGCTGTGAACCATGAGCCTCAGATCTCAGTCTCCTGAGTAGCTAGGATTACAAGTGAGCCACTGGCGCCTGGCCTTTTGTTGTTTCAAATATGGCTAGTGCTTGGAGCTGGCCACCCAGGGAAGAACTGCAAAGTGAAGATTGCATAGCTGAGATTATGCTCATGATAAGCCTAGGGTGGGGTTATGGAATGCTTCAAGACACATGCCATAAAGTTGAAGGGGGTGGGGGGAGAGAACTGCGGTAGGGGATAGAGGAAAAGGGCTAGACTAGATCCTCTCATAGTCTGGTCTATAGCTCAAGTAGTACTCTTGAACTCACCAGAATTACGATAGATGTAAAATGAGCCAAATGGTTTCCAAGTGGGAAAAGTGCCAGCCATGATTTTTTTTTGCTGCCCAAGGAATCAACAATAATAATAATTCTTATGATTTATTTTCATCCAGTTTTATTCCAAAGTACTTTACCAAAAAGCCCCTTGATCTAGCCAAGTTGTTTAGGGCCAGAAGCCAAAACACCTGAACTCTAGGATCTGTGGATGAAACATTTGGAATTTTCTTGGGGTCCAAGTTTCTCTAGCTGTAATTACGGCAAGTGACCTAGGTGGAGAATTTTAGTTCTACTCATATCTGCTCATTTGACCCTCCAATTTCTGGTGAGAAGTAAATAGACTATTCTAATTATACACATATGGACATGTATCAGAGAAGACTTGCCCAAGCTCACACATTAAGCTGAGGAAGTTGGAATTTTTTAAAATTACAAACCCCTAATTCCCCAGGCAAAAATAAAGTTGATCCCAGGCCTTGCATTCAGTGTACTATGACTAGATCCTACACAAAGCACTCAGGGTAGAGTCCAGAGCAGATATGGGTTTGTTGGGCCCAAAATATATACTATTTGGAAGAAGGAGATCTTTTAAACAAAAACAAAATATTAAGAGCCTTAGGTAGGGCTGGGAAGGTGGCTCAGTGGTAGAGTGCTTGCCTCACATGCATGAGGCCCTGGGTTCAATTCCTCAGCACCACATATACAGAAAAAGCAGGAAGTGGTGCTGTGGCTCAAGTGTTAGAGCACCAGCCTTGAGCTGAAGAGCTGAGGGGCAGTGCCCAGGCCTAGAATTTAACCTCCACGACCAACCAAAAAAGAAAAAAGAAAAAGAGCCTTAGGTAGGTCCTGCAAGTAAAGGGCCTCGAATCTTAAGCTTCATGAGCACAATGGTAAATCTGCTACAACCGGAAACAAAAACAAAAACCCAACAATTGGAAACACCAGCTCTTGACAGCTTTTCCCTCCAGTTTGTGCAAAGAGGCAGAATTGGGTTGAGATTCCTAGGAAAGGAATCTTATTTCTCCCAAGAGATAGGAGGAAATTGCACCAGCAGTGAAGTGGTGTTGAAGATGAAGAGGGCACTGTGCCAGGGGACAGTCCGAAGAGTCTGTGTGACCCAGCTGGCTAAGATGGTGACAGCATGGCTTGTTGGAAGCAAATGGCCTTCACATTGACTTCTGGCTCCCGGATCCTGTCCTGATAGCCTTCCTCTGAGAAGGGCAGGCAAAGCCAAGACAACCTACAGCTGATGACAGTGGGAAGCTGGAAGATGGTTCCTGTCTAGGCCTTTCCTTCTCTCGCCTGCACGGTGTTGGACTGCGGGAGACCCACACGGAGGCTGCCGGAACGCAGCTCCCGCGGTAAGGCCGGGATGCCAGGCTCCCCTCGAGAATCCCCGCCGCCGCCGGGGGGCAGAGCCGGCGGCCGGCTTTCTCTGGGCTGGCCGTGCCTTTTTGACAAGCTAATTGCGTGGCGGGGATTGGCTGATCCAGGCGTGACGCCGGTAACAACAAAGGTGGAGTTGGAAGAAATTAGATTAAAAGAGAGGGGGGTAAAAATAAAAGGGGGAGCTGGCAAGGCACTGGAGGCAGAGACCGAGGGGGAGATGCGCCAAGCTCCGTCTCCGGGTGGCCCTCCCCCCCGCCCCCCCTCCGTCCCCAAGCTTCTTTAGACAAACCCATCGGGATTTGGCTCTTTACTCCAACCCCGGCCCAGTTACGGTTACGGAAGCCGGTGTAGGATGGCTGCTGCTTCTTGGGGGGGGGGGGGAATCCCAACTTCCACACTGACACCTTTCGCTACGATGCTGGGGAGGAACTTTTTGCTCCGACTCCTCGGATCCTAAATTCAACGAAGGTGGGAGGGCAGAGAACAACGGCGGAAAGGCTCGCCTAAAACCCGGAAGGCCCTGGCGGGGCACAGAGATCGGACGAGGCGGGGTGTTCCCCCGTTCTTCCGATGTTGCAAATCCAGACGCTTTTTCTTGCCTTTTTTTTTTCTTTCCCTTTTTATAACACCCTCCCTTTGGTTCTCCCCTCCCCGCTCTGGCTTCAGGGTTGCAAAAGCAAAGAGCAATAAAAAAGAAAAAAAAAACCCGCGCGCACACACACACACTCAGACACACACCAGTGGCGACAGGGGAGAGTTGGAAAGCCGCAGGAGACAGGAGGCAGCGGGGATGGAGCAATGGGGACGGGGAGCGGGCAGGTTCCCTCGCAAATCCCCCTCCGGCTCAAGCCGCCTCGCCCGCACCGGCAGGGGAGCGAGGAGCCAGGCGAGCAGATGGAGGAGTGGAGCTCGCTCTAGGAAGCGGGCTTGGCCGGAGAATGGAGGAGCCGCCAAGCGACCGGCTGATTGGAAGAGAAACGCAGAGCGATGGAGGCGGGGGTAGGAGGACGATTTCTCTGCGGGGACTGGCGGCGGCGTACACGCCCGGGTCGGGCGCTGCAGAGCTTGGCTAGCTTTCAACCCGCGCTCGCCGGCTACAGCCCCGCGCGCCCCCACCCCCAGCCCTACCCGTGGCTCCGCAGGTGAGTTCGACCTGAGGGCAAAAAAAAAAAAAAATCAACATGTCCGTTCGGGAGGGAAAAAAAAAGGGAAAGCATTTCTCTTTTTAAATTTTTTTTCGTGCAGCCCCCAGAGCAGTGGGAGGGAAGGGGTGAGGCTGAGCCACCCCGAGGAGGCGGAGGGGCCAGGCGAGGCCCGGGTGGCCCGGGAGGCGGCGGCGCCGAGGCGGCTCTGACGGGCGAGCGCTCGGAGCGGCGCTGCGCAGCGCCGAGGCAGGCGGGCGGGCGGGCGGGCGGAGCGGGGGGGGCTCGCCATTAGCCGTCGCTCCGCTTCGCCATCTCGGGCTTTGTCTGGCGACTTGCTGCCCCGGCGTCAGCTGCGGCGGAGCTGCGGCTCGGCTCTTCGGCCCGCCGCACCCTTAGACACCCCTGACCCGCGCTCCTGTCCGTACGCTCGGTAAGAGAGTTTCAGTGCCGCGGATTTCGGGGGAGAGGGGTCGCTAGCGGCAGCGGCGGCGGCGGCGGCGCGATCTCCATGCGCCGGGGCAGGCCTGAGGAGCCATGCCGGGCTAGATTGAACCAGCTCCCTGAGCGCGGTGCGCCGTTTCCAGGATGGAGGGAGTAAAGGGGATTTTTGTTTTGGGGGCCTAGTTTTTTTTTTTTTTTAGTTTCTTGGGTGTCTTTTGGCAGCTAACGAACCGCGAGGTAGGCGCCTAAGTCTGGCGCCGCGATCGGCGTGCGTGCACCCCAGGCTGGTGGCCACGCTCCCGGGATAAGGGTGGACGCTGACCGGTCTGCCTCTCCAGGAGGCAGGAAGTGGGGAGTGGGTGAGAACTGGCCTGGAAGCCCCAACGTAAGCTTTGGGAAGGACTGGAAGGGCGCTCTGGAGCGGGGCTGCCGGCAGCCCCCGAGCCTCCCCGGCCGCCTGGGGGCCCTCCCTCCCGGGCGGGCCAAGCCTGCTAGTTCCCCCGCGGGTCTGGCGAGGTCGCTCTCGGCTCCCGCCCGCCTCGGCTCGGAGCCCCGCCGCCATCCGGGCGGCTGCGTGTCTCCCTGCCTCGGGCTCCCCCCTCCCTTCCCCGGCGGCGGCGGCAGAAGCAGCCGCCACCACCGCCACCACCACCGCTACCACCACCACAACCACCCCCCTCCCCTCCTTCCTTTCCTCCGCCTCGGCCGCCCGGGTCCCCCCAGCTCCCGCCCCTCCTCCCAGCTGCCCCCCGCGGAGCCCGCCCGGGCAGGCTGTGGGAGGGAGCGGAGCCGGCGAGGCGGGCGGGCTGGCGCTCGCTCCCCGGGGGTCGGTGTGCGCTCTACGGGGAAGGACGCGCTCGCTGCCCCGCTTCTCCCGCCCCCCCTCCCGCTCCTCCTCCTCCCTTTTCCCTCC